GGGACCAGATGATTTTTATTATGTCCTGATATGTACAATCATAGAACTCAAAGAGGGTGTACTTTCTTTTTCACATGGCTGTACATCCCACAGGAAAGTACTATGCCAAAAGGCATTCAATCACCTTTATTTTTTTTCTTCCTAGTAAAAAACTCCTGCAGGCTTTGGTTATAAGTATAATATAGGAATAAGGAGCCTAAACAAAGGCATTTAAATAAATTGAAGACCTCAATCAAGCATCCTCCTTTTTTCATTAATGGCAAGAGCTATTATTGAAGGAGGAAGATCTGCTAGAAATTTGTAACTGGTCTGGAGATTGTGTTTAGATAAAATCAGGTAGTCCTCATTCTTCATGCCTGTCCTGACTTGAAAAAACGGAGGTTACACTGAGGTCATAGATAGCTAACTTACTTTAAGTGGAGATTTTTAGAAAAATCTGAAAGTTGCAGTTTTAGGGTTTATATAATAATTCCCCTTGAGAGTGATTATTTATATAGATTTCATTGATTTTCCATTTCTCCTGCTGGCAGGTTATTTTCCATACCTTGAAGTAAATTGTGTTGACTAGTATCATAACAGTGAATGTATTGATGACTCCTTCTGGGATCACATTTGTTATACGCTTCTCAGTTTTATTTGCCACCCAGTCATTGATGATTGCTCTAGATAACTCTGGCTTCTCCTAAACGGGATAATACAGAAAAAGGTAACTTTATTTTATTTACATCCATTTGGATACACCCTATTCCAGTGACTCTAGGCAAATTACAGGACATAAAACTAAAAACTTCAATGAAATACTCATAAAAATAAGGTACAATTAAAGCCATTAAATGCTATTAATATAAAATACAGTGATGGTTTGGAGAATCTTCCCTCTGAATTGACTTCCCCATGAACCTACTATTAGCTCATTCCTTATACCATGGTGACCTGCATTTCTTCAGATCAGTGGGTTCTGCACTTCAAGGGGTTGCTGTGGGAAAGCCTGGCAGCTTCCCCACTCAGTATTTGTCATTTGCATCTTCCTTGCAGCCTTCCCTGAAAGGCAGTGACAGAGGTTTGATCTAAATCAGTGTTTCTCAAGCTTGGCAACTTTAAGATGTGAGGACCTCAACTCCCAGAATTCCCCAGCCAGGATGCTGGCTGGGGAATTCTGGGAGTTGAGGTCCACACATCTTAAAGTTGCCAAGGTTGGGAAACACTGCCTTATACAGTAATAAGGATTTATTTAAACTGTTTTAAAGTTGTAGATAATTGAAGATAAAGCCACAAATAATTTTATAAAAACTCATGGGTGACCTTGCACATGAAAATTGTGGCAACCAAGAAGATTTTCATAGTGCAGTAAAATAAGCAAGAAAACCATACTTGGATGCAAGGATCAGTGTGATTACAGCAAGGATTTCTGCCTTCTTGAATGGAGTTGGGGCAGTGTCAGACTGGCTGAACTAATTCTATTTGTTTGTTTCTTTGTTTGTTTCTTACTCTTTCTCAACTAGTCCAGGAACTATTCAACTATTCATTTCTGGCAGACGGGCAAAGGTCAAAACACAGAGCAGTTAGTTTGTTGACAAATAAGACACAATTGAAGCCGCTGCCTCCCGCTTCCCTCCCAAAGAATAGGCTTTATATAAAGAGTCAAATGTCATTTTTTTCTTTAAACTGGCAACCTGGAACTGATTCGTCCCACTCCAAATTTTATTCACCTCTTAAAGCAGAGAAACACAGAATTAGAAAAGAAAATGATTGCAATGCTAATATTGTAACCCAGGCTGGTGTAGCATTTGCACTGTTGGAGTAGGACTGGAGAGATTCTAATTCAAGTACCTGCTAGGTGACTTTTGGCTTCTTGTTATGAAAACTGGAGGAGGAAATGTCACGTATGCCACTCTGGTTATAAATCTAATATATTATTAATATTACCACTTGAATTAATATTTATCCAAGACACATACATGGATTGGGGGGGAAAGTGATAAAATTAGCCATGCTGACCATCCAAAAATTTGCAAAAAAGAAAGGGCAATATCTTTATTAGGACAACAAAAACATCACAAGAAAGTGTGCAAATGTTTGAGTTCCTTGGAATCTTTTTCTGGCTGGGTGGTAAATCAAGAAGAGCCCAAGCAAAGCTTGGGGCGGGACAAAGAAAGGGAAATCAGCATGATTCAGAGGTTGGGGCATCGTCAGGCCAGGAGCAAAAGCACAGCCGGAAATGCTACACCGCATTTACCTACAGCAGCATTCAGTCAGCAGTCAAGGACATGCTCTAAGTTGATGGCCTATGTACAAAAACTAAAGTTCATTCAATTAAATTTAAATGTAGTTCACTTAATGTATTGCATGATGTTTCACTGCTACTGCATTCTGAAATGCAGTTCAGGGTCAAGTTTCAGAAAGTCTCAAAGTCCCACCGAGGTTTTCAGGGGCACACAAGGTCCCGAGGCTGCAGGTAGTAGTCAACTACTTGCAAATAAAGCAGCATTACCCCATCATACTGTATATATAATTCACCTTGAAGTTCAAAGGCCAGAGTTTAGCTCCATAAACCACCTCGCTAATGTTCTGGTAGGTTTCATTGAATCTGAGAGACTTTTCCCCAAAAAGGCGATTGGCTGATATCAACGTAGAGGATTTGTTGACTTTCCTGTAGAGTCGACAGTTCAGTTTGGCAAAGAAGAAGTGGATTTGATCAGATGTTTTTTCTGAAATGGTGTCAAACTGAAAAACCTTGAAAAAGAGACCAAGGAGAAAGGAATTGGAAAACTGTTCAGCAAGTGCATGAAGTGGTCCTGCCTAGAAATGCCTGCCAAATTTGATGGCCTGCCAAATTTCACATGCAACATTGGAATTGAAAAGAGTTTGATGCTAGATTAACATGGCATATTTCTGACATATTTGAGGAACAGAGGAAACTTAACACTGTAATAATTTCAGGTATATAGGAAAACTTACTGAGCCTTAGAAATCATTGGCGCATTATTTTAGAGGCTTAGAAAATTAATTGTGCAAAGAATTATCACATTTATGCTAAATAACCATCTTTCATTTGACTTTAAAACCTCAGTCCCTCAAAATATCTGAATGTATGGCGAGCACCCTCATACCCAGACATTTTCTAGTGCAAAATACATAGAAAAGATGAGAACACGGTTCTTATCAGGCCTCAAAATTCAGTATGCCAACATTCCCAATTTGGTGCAAGTGCTCTAGACAGGCTGATCCAGAGCAACCAAAAGAAGAAACTGACTTTCTTTTGAGCAATTAAAAGCTTTTAATTCAGTTTGGTCTAGTGGTTGAAGCTCCAGGCTAGAAAGCAGGAGACTTTGAGTTCTAGTCCTGCCTTAGGCATGAAAGCCGGCTGGGTGACTCTGGGCCAGTTACTCTCTCTCAGCCCATGACATCAGGCTTGGGCAACAAGCCAGTTGGTAAATTCCTGTCACAACCAATGCATCAACTTTCAGTTGATCTGAAAAAAAAGGACCCCGCACCTATGGGAAAATGCTAGGAAGAAAAAAACATTCAGGTTTTCAGAATCTGAATGTCTACATGCAAACCTAAAGAAAAAAGTTAGCTACCAGTTAGTATATAACCCATTTTAGTATCCATTGATTTTAAGGAGATAATCAATTGGAAGAAGGAATCTTTAACACACTGCTCTGCGATATGCTTCTTTGAGAATGTTGTGTGTTTTCCTAAAAAATAAACTGAGGCTGTAGATTAGAATTAGAGGAGAACAGTCTTTGCTAAGAGCAGGAGTAGCTGTGTCTGACCCGATAACTAAGGAGCCCAATCACAGTCCTATTCTGACATTACCGTCATTAGCTGCTGAAGAGTATTGCCACAGGCACCCAACTTGGTCATGGCAAAGGCAGTGGAAATACTGATTGGTGACATAAAGAAGTTCTCATTTCCCTCCCTGACATTGGTGACGTTCCTGTATAAGAGGACAGCAAAACGGGAATTGGCCTTGGACAACTCCCAGACACGAGGGTTGGTAAAGGTTGGGATTCTCCCCTGATCTGCCTCCTCTTGCAACTTCTTCTCAGGGTTACGATAGATGCAGATTGGATTCACAGGGATGTCCTTTGGCTTGGCAGTACATATATCTTCTACTGAGCGGTGCTGTGTGGTGCCAGTAGCCCACAGACAGATGAGAAACAGTATCAGGAACTGCATCTTCCTGTAATCAAGAGAAAGTAATGCTTGGGACTGTATATTAAAATACGTGTTTTTTTCAGATCAAAACTAGTTTACATCCCAGAGATGTGCAGCCATTTGGAGGAATGGTTCAAACGGTTTACATGGACCTAATACACACCACTCTTCATGGAAGCATCCAAAGTCAACATACATATACATATATTGCTGATTGGCATTTAGTTTTCCTAGCGGTTGCTTTGAGAAATAGGTAAGGAATGAGGGGTTTGTTTGTAAGTGCAGTTGCTATAGATATCCTTTCTCAGACGCTTCCTTGTACTTCAAGTTCGGTAACTGGGGTCACAGCCCACTTTGGTCAAAAGTGTATTTCATATCTTCATATACATGGGCTTTTGCTTGTCTACTTGGATCCTGAAAGAGAAAACACAAAAACTGCCCGGGCTAGCCCATCCAAATGGAAAATAATAAATTCACAATTAGCATATGCCCTGCACATAGTTTTAACCTGGAACTTAAGAATGGAATTTTTACATAATATGGGATCTTTGATTTTTATAGGTTGTTCAGCTGCTTATAAGAGGATACACTGGGGTGAGATGCATCTATTGAATATTTGGTTGGCTACATAACAACCAACTGAAAACAGGAGCCATCTCTGCCATTGTTTCTTCAGCAAACTGTAGCCTATATCACTGTGACTGTCAAGGATTTAGAGCCTAATTTGTATAGATGTTTATCTAATCCCCTTTGAAAATCATTAAAGTTGATGCCTATGAAGAAAGACATTTATTTGGCTACCCTGTTATCTATCATTTCAAATTCCATTTGATTGTCTTGCGTTCTAGAACTATCATAGGAAAATCTTCTGTCCAATTTTGCTATATCTTATATAACTTTTAATGATTGTGTATATTTTTTAACTTATCTTCTCTTATTCGCCTCTTCTTTTTAAAAACAGCCCCAAAGGCTGAAAATTCAACTGGTTCTGGAGAAAAGTGTAATATTAAACCAGATAACTGACCACTCATGGCCATTTAATGTTCTCCTAAAATCTGCTACCTACCGAAGGCTACCTCACGCTGGGTTGGTCCCACCTAAAAGGAAACTGAGATTTCTTATTGAAAAGCTTTACTGATATATGAAACAAAACAAATTTTTTGAAAGAATATGGAAAATTATATCCTTCTTTTCCATTCTGTTTACCACATCCCTATTTTATTAGTGAAAGTAATCACATATTTCTACCATTGCTTTCTATATTTTATTTGCATAATAAATACCTGAAATCTCTTACCTATTTCTTGTGCTGTTCTCTCCAGTAGCCTACGATGATCAAAGAGCTGAATTGTTAATTTAGGCAAAAACCATTTCAATCAGTAAGAATATGCCTGGTGGAGTTTACTGCTGAGTTGTGCTCTCCTCAACCAGCTCCAAAACAAGGAAAGGAGAGAAGGGGAAAGGGGGTGGGAAAGCCATGAAGGTCAAAGGCCACTGATCTCGAAAAGCAAGTTAAACAAATAGTGGAGCAAACCAATGTTTATTCTGAGAGCAGCTTTAATGTTCAACATGATGAGGACACGTTTCAATACATGCCACACATACCAAATGGCAGAGACACAACCCAGTGGGAAAACAGTAATTGAAAAGGGAGTTACTTTCTTTGCTGCACATAATCTTCATTTCACAATGGACAGAGATTTTAAGACTTGTTCCTGTTCGATCAAGGAGAGTTCTTTGGGGGAAAGCAGAGAAAGGAGCTTTTGGTAGGCTTACTTTTGAGGAGCACTGGGGTTAGAATTGCAGCCCTTTCCCAGAAACTGTGATTAAAGTACACCTTGGTGAGGTCAGGGCCTGCAGATAACAAATGGCAGGGAGAACAATGAGGATGTATTTTGCCCCAGCAGTCAAGTGACTAGGATAAGAGGGGAAGAAAGACATCAATGCAGGGCCCCATTGCACCTTTCAATGATTTTAACAATGGCCATTTCCACACAAGGATTCTGTGCTAGGTTGAAAGCAGTTCTGAATACAGTGATCCCATGATGTTGATGACCATGGCAAGCTGCGCCGGTTTTTTTCCACAGTGTATTTGAAACCTCGAAGGAGCTTAGAGCTACCAGATCTGTATCATGTTGCTGCCATCTAGTGGTTGTCTGGATATTTGCAGCCCAGATCTGGTGGCCCTAGCATGGCTAAAACTTCCTTTTGCAAAATGCTGAGCTTCTGAGCCCAGTTTCCCACCAGCTTTCCACTGAACAAGAGCAGCCATGACTCTCTCTCCCCTTCCCCCAACAGTTTGGGGAACTTCCATTTCAAGGCACTTGCGTAAGAAAAACAAACCCAAACCAGCCAAGCAGCTCCCTGGCTCTTCTAGTTGTCTCGTCCTCTGGGAAAAAGAAAAAGGCCACAGCAAGGCCTCTGGTCAATGTCACCCCATAGTGAAGGCTACAGGACATTTCAGGGAAGAGTATGTGTGATGGTCCATGACATTTTGGAATGCTGCTCCCATGGAGGAGTTGGGAGTGCATTCCTTAGATGACCTGCCAGCTGGTGGATTTATTTACATTTATATTACAAGGACTGGTGCTACCTACTTGTAATGACTGAACAGGTTGCAGTTCACTCTGTCATTCTGGGGGACCATCCAGCCTTGGCTACTTTCCAACACTCCATAGTAACAGCTCTTCAGACGTGACCACAGTCAGGTACGTGTACGGATGAAGCAGGCATTTAAACATTTCTTGGAAAGGAAGATGGCATTCTTTGTGTTGCACAGCATATAATCCAGTTGTGATTATGGGTTGTCCTGAAACCCTTGGATATGTTGCTGCACAATGTCCTGAAATGGCCATCCCATAGGATGAAGGAAAGAGTGGATCCCTTAAATTCCTGGGCTCATAATACTAATTGCTGGGAAGTGGCTGTGATCTGCTCCTACTTAGCAGAAACCACCTGCAAGCAGTCTTAGAAGGCCTGATGTGGATGATGGGGGAAAGGAGAAGAATGACCCCTTGCAAAGTCCACTATTTCTAGCTGTGGGTCCTGAATGCCAGGGATTTCCTTTGAGGCCCATGCAGGTCTTTTGTTCATTCCTCTTTTCTCCCTTCAGTGCGGTCCCTTTTTTAAAAAAATTGCTTAAGTGTGTATTAGTCAGTCTTTCCTCTGTGTCAAAACAAAACAAGTTCATAGATGGCAAATGAACACATTTCATCAATACAAGATTATAAACTGGGCATAGCAAAGTCTTTGTTGAAGTGAAACCATATTTTTAGTTACAGTCCATGCATGAGAAGTAGAATCCTTCAGATGTCAATAAATTCCAAATCTTACATAATTCAACATCTGATCAATATTGTTAAATCTTTTCTCTCTTCCTAACACCATATTAGCAAACATAAAACTATTTAATAAAATGGAACAGCTGTGGCCAGTGGCATCTACCAGGGTGTGGGTGTGGGCATCAAAAAAGGCAAAATGACCAAACCAGCATTTCAGTATAAGCTTCTTTGTCTACACATGTGACATGCCATGTGGATGTATGTACAAAAAGGATGGGACTTGCATTGAGATGTTGCTTCAACCACTAGCCTTTTTTGACCAACCCCCAGCAGACACTGCTATAGTCAAGTCCTGTCCCCTCTGCCATTTTACAATTTCACCATAACATAGCTTATATCTATAAGGCCCAGTGTTGCCTTATGCCCTGTTAGATTACTTGTGATTCAAGAATGGCTAGTTTCTTTGTTGGTGCTTTTCTCTTCATTAAAGGCCTTGTTTTCCCTGCAGGGAATATAAGTACCGGTAGTCCACACTTACTGACTGCAATTGGGACTGGCAACTCTGTTCCTAAGCCATGCGGTCATAAAGTAAACATCTTGTGACCGCACTGACTTATGATGTCAGTTCCGGCTGCAGTTGTTAAGCAAATCACCCGCAGTTGTTAAACACATCATATGACTGCGGCTTGCAACTTCCTGCTGGTTTCCCCATTGACTTTGCTTGTCAGAAGCTGGCTGAGAGGGTCACAAATGGCAATCATGTGACCGCAGGACGGTGTGATAACTTCAAGGACCAGCTGTAAATCTCCTTATTCAGTGCCTTCATTTCAATTGGTTACTGAATGAGTGGTTGGTAAGTGAGGACTACCTGCATGTCTTTTTCCTCATGGGAGAGTGATGAGGAGTGGATAGCTATCAGCAACATTCCCCCTAGCCTTCTTCATCCCTTCTGGGGATTTCCACTCGCTCCTGCTCTGAATTCCATGGTGTTTGGATGGGGCTATCCACCCAGGTGAAAGAGTGTCACCTGGGCTGGTGGTTGTGCTGCCATCATCTGTTCTTGAACGGGGAGATGCCTCACCTCCCCTTGAAACTGAACAGCTCAGTACTAAAAAATTCAGTTTCTGTGAAGTCCTTGGGGTTCTCTGAGCCAGCATTTTCTGAACCCCAAGGACTCCATAGTTCAATCTTGAGCTACATATATTCTCTTCTATTGGTAATTTCCCTTTCCTCAAAAAGAAACATTTATGTTAATTGTCCCGTTTTCCTCTTTTCACTGTTACCTAGCCCAAGCAATTTTGGAATGTGTGGTAATAGATTGCAAATTCAGCATGGGAGTAAAAAAAAAAAAAAGAGATTTTTAGTTGAATACAAGCAAACAAGCAATGATTTGAGAGAACAGCTTATGTGCAACAAGTTACTGAGTTTGGGATCCTCAGAGCCAGGACTTAGTAACTTGTAAACCCTTGGAGCAAACAAAGAAAGAGGTAGAGAGACAGAGGAGATATAGTTTATCAGATACAAAATTACTCAAAAGCTGCAGCTCATGAAAGCTTATTCCTTTTAATAAAATACATTAGTTGGAAAAGGTGCTGCCTGACTCCTGAAAGTCTAGGGATTAAAAAAAAACAACCCACTGTTTCCCAGTTAGCTAGAGGCTAATTGAAAGGAGCAAAGTAGACCTGATGCCTGGGGCTTGCACATTCGAGCAGTGGCGCTGGAAGTTAGAGGCCCAACAGAGCTGGGCAGCAAAAATCCAGAGTCATGAATGATGGCAAATAATTTGTTTTCTGTAACTTTCTGCTGAGAACTAGCGCTCGTAGCACGGAAGATGTTACCTAGCCGGGTAATGAAATGTTTGCAAGAAAAGAACCAAACTCAGAGAATCCCAAGGACTTCACAGTTCAACCCTGATCTACACATATTTGCCTCTATTAGTGCTCATTTAGTCAGTGTGCACTGAGGCTGCCTACCACCCTTGCCTGCGCCCAGGGATGTTGCACACAAAATAGTGCAGGGCTTGGATCACCTGCTTGTGGCTGCCCTCTGAACTTTTTGGACCCCACTTCCTTGGACCCCCCCTGCCTGAAGCCCTTTTCCTTCTGCTGCTCTGTCCTATCTCAGGCCACGTGCTGGCCCTGCAACAGATCACCTCCAAGTTTAAGACTGAAGCCCAGCGGGGGGCAGGGCCTGGGACCATTAGCCCTGCCTTGACCCTCTAGCTAACTGGGAAACAGTGGGTTGTTTTTTTTTAATCCCTAGACTTTCAGGAGTCCTGAAGCCCTTTTCCTTCTGCTGCTCTGTCCTATCTCAGGCCACGTGCTGGCCCTGCAACAGATCACCTCCAAGTTTAAGACTGAAGCCCAGCGGGGGGCAGGGCCTGGGACCATTAGCCCTGCCTTGACTGTATTTACATAGTAAATGCTAACAGTTGCCCAAGTATCTCATGGGCAGACACAAAGCCTGGCCGTTACAATATTGTGAGATTTCTTTGATGACTTTTTCCCTTTCCCCCATTCTCACTTATTGTTTTACTGAGCCTTCCCAGATGTGGCATGTTTTTTGAATTTTAAGAAATGGTAGTTCTATGAGAATAGCAGACGAGCAATTATCCTGCCTATTTTTGATGTTCACACTAGAGGAAGGAGGATTGAAGTATAAGGAGCATATAAAGGAAAGGAAGCCTAATCCTGTACATAAAGATGCTAATATCCATCCCAACTTGTTCTCTTTGTTAAGGAGAGCATTAGTAGCACACATGGGGATGTATTTGATTTCTCTGAAGAATATAGAGTTTGAATGACTAAAGCCTTCCAGCTGTGTGCTTTCCTCCCTTCTCTGTTGCATGGTTAGAGCAGTCATTCCTGAAGATTCAGAACAGCAACAGTAGATTCAGAGAAGGCAATATACAAAGTTAAAAGCCATCTGGGCTTTTCCAAATGATCTGCCTGTGGTGACAGCCTTCAGATGATTCTATTATCCTGATGGGTCCATCTTTCCTGTGAAACAGAACACCTCTCTGCTAGTTCTGCATACCATCAGAATCATTTTTGGTATCTTCAGTGGGTGCCTGGCTGTACTGAAATCTGTTCTATAATGGTCCTTGTCCTTTCTGCTGAACATATGAAAAAGGATGGGACTGAATGCTCTAACCCCTACCTCGCCAAAAAG